CCAACATTATTCATTGTATTAGTTGAGGGACATTTAGAATTTGTGTACTAAGAGTAGGAATTATGACAGCAATAAAATCAAACACAAACGTCAATAACGATATGCCTAAGAGTTAAATTTTTATGCCATTCATCTAAAATTGAAATGCGAATATTGACTTGTTTGGTTGTTTACTTGCGATATCAAGTATGCCTTATACTAAAAATAAAATCAACTAAAATAGAGGCCATAGCATCATAAGTGTTTTTCACAGCTACATTGTTTCTTCTCAACGATTGTTTTGTTATGTTGGGCAATCAGTTGATGCCCACATATTTAGTCACAAGCCCTTGGCACTTACCATAACTTGTGCTACGTTAGGCATTCAAATAGATAAATATATGCGTAATAATTGCGAAGCACATAAGAAATACCACCCACACACACACACATGCACACACCCACGCCCACAAAAGATACAAGCGCACACATATGCCGACACTGAAATTGTCGCACATCAAGGAAGTAAAGTTGAACAGAAGCCCATAAATAATAATTAAATGCGTGACTAATTACTTGTGTAATTTGTTGTTATTAGGCGCAAAGGCAGCGACGACGTCAGTTTTGGTAACAAAAGGAATCGACATGGCAAAATGTCCCAGTCATTATAGCCATGAACATATATGTATATATAGATTATTAATGCAACTAGGCTGATAGACAGACAGGATATGGTAGGTACATATGTGTGTATAAACTTCTAAACAGACAAGCGTACGCGCACGCATAATAAGCGAGAAATTGCCATGACAATATGTTGCCGTTGTTTGTGTTGCTGCTCCTGCTCAGACGCCTGCTCCTGACGAGTAGAACGAAAGAAATTAAGCCAAAGATGCGTATGTAACTAATACACGCACAGCGTGCGATAAAGCGCGAGGGTGTGTATACACATGTGTGTGTATGTGCATGTGCGTGATGATGATTAAGATGACAACAACTGTCAACTTTACTTTGGCGCACTCACATGAAACAAAAACTCCCTCCGCACACACACAAATATGTCTGAAGATAAGTAGATATGGCAGCTCACATGCCATGCCCCTGCGATTCAGTCCTTTGCGGTTTAATGAGTCTTGATTTATTTCATTTCCTTATATTCTACATGAGACGCCAACGCTGCTGGCTTTCGTTTCTGAGCGCAATCTTTACACATTTATGTAGATGGTAGCGCCTAAATTTCATTACTCATGCTCGTTGCCTTCGCTTTTCCGTGGCACTTGCTACTACTTAGAGCATTTTAATTAAGACATTGATTGCTTAATTAAATATATTTTTGCACTCTACGCGCCTTAAGATGTCGGCTGATAAGCCAAATATGGGCGAGGCATTCGCAAAAGGAAACGCCCGCGAATTTTCAATATCCGGGGCACTTAAATACTATTACATTGCATTTCTGCACACCCTAAAAGTATGCAGCACAATTTTATAAACGATTTAATGCGTGTTATTTAAGCATGTGTGTGGCACAGAAGTGGTGCTGTAGCTGACAGCTATGGAACGCAGGCTGAGCTACATAAGGTTTTGCAAAACATGGAACAACAGAAAAGAGAGGGGTACAGTATGACCTCGGTAATCGCAACTAAGGGAAACCAGGGTAGGTGCACTTATTAAATTTTTTTGTACCTAGCACGGCAAAATTTAGAACTTTAAAAATTAACAATGAAAGCCCCTCTATGACGAACCAAAGATCACATTTTCAAATTTAAAACAATTAAAAATCTTCTAACACTATTGTTTCGTTAAAAACACCAGCATATTGTACTTACACTATTCGTAATATCAATATATTGTCACTCCATACTTAGTGTATCGCGAATCCTCACCAGCAAGCTACCAGTTAGTTGGTTGAACACAAGCGGAGTAGACATACAACAACAATTTTAAGCTCCCTCAGCTTCCCTCCTCATTGCATTATATTATATCAGTATCAGTTATAGTTAAATAGACTTGTTGGAAACGGTACGCAGCAGTGTTATATTTATTTCGGTTGCTCTAAGAAGCTCGTGATCTCTGCCAAGCCAACACATTTGTAGAGAGCCTCTTCCATTTCTGGGTATTCAGCAGATTTTAGTTTCCCATGTTTCTGGCAAATTTTTAAGTTCCATCTCTTTTCTTTTAAATTCGTGTAATTGTTGAATTGTATATCTTAATTACCTTTATTACAATTGAATTTGTCGATACTGCTGATTTTAATTTATGTAAAATGTCTCTATTTTGCTTAATTGTTAGATACATATATCAATTTTTTACTCATTGAAGCACTCTTGGGAAGATGCATATGCCAATGATGGATGTCCGCCATGAATACAATTTTAATATGGGTAAATTGTAAATCTTTTAAAAAAATTAAAAACGCATTGCTCATGTAATAAACAAATCAAAATAATTATGTTCTTTTGGGTTGCATAAAAATGAAATGTATAAGCAGCCGTCTTTGACAACTAATTGGTTTTCTATTTTCCAATGCACTTATCTGGCAGCATATGTTAATTGAAAATAACAGAAAAATGTCCCTACATAGATGAACCACATTGTACGTCTGTACATTCGTGAGCAAACAAACATCTATGGTTGCTTTTCACAACTTCCTGTTTGCCTTCGCCATCGCCTTCAGGTTTAGTGCTTAGTGTTTGCCAATCCCGCCATCTCTGGCATTCCACGGAATCTCCATAAAAATGTGCAAAATGTAAAAATTCATAAAATAAAATAAAACGAATATTTTTGCAGCAGCCATGTAGTTTATGAACACTTATCCCTGTCGCTCTCCCTCTCCTTCACACACACACACACACACACACACACACACACACTCTGTCTCAATCTGTTTGTGCCATACCCTGCAGCAGTTGCTCAACAATTTTTCGCATTCGCTTTACACACTTATGCGCTATTCTATTCGCCTCTGTTTCATGTATTGTTGTTGTTTTTTGTGGCATGATGTCTGAGGTCCGCTCACATGCTTGTTTATTTGCCTAAGCTTCGCTTGTTGTGTTTACAGTTTTCAGTTTTTGGTTTATTGTGTTTTCCATATCGCTGTGTGGGTGTCAATTTTATTTACTTTTTACAACTACAGCTTGGCCCGACCTTCTGTGGTTCGCCACCGCCACTGTCATCAAGTCATGTGATACGCACTTACATCGGAATTTTCTAAAATACTATTTGCATACATACATGCATATTTTGATATGTAAATAAGTACGTGTGAGTAGAGTTCTATTTGCAGTTTTTGATTTATTCTTGAGTCATTTATTTGCACAGTGCCTCTCTCATCTCATTATATTTTTGAAGGCCATGGCATAACTCTCTCTTAAGTACAAATAAAGGATTTCTTGAAAACAAATAATTTATCTTTATATCGCTATTTATTTTAGCTGGCTGGCGCTGTCGCTGTGTGTGTTATCATTTAAATTATAACTCATTGAAATTAGATGACTATCTAATATATTTTAAGAAAGTAAGAATGCGAAAACAGCATGTGTTGAGGTGGCAGGATTTTATAAATGCTTTAAACTGAAAGGGAAACCAATAATAACAAATAGTTTTCAAAAACACACATTCACAAAATTTTATGTATGGCATATGATCGATGGCCTTTCAATAATGAAATGCTATTACTTCTAAAAAAAAAAAAAAAAAATCATTCCACATAATAACTCCAACAGCAATAACTCAAAATGTCGTTTGCATATTGGTTTTAAACAACCTATTCAAAATATTATTTGATGGGCTTGCTACATGATACTAATTTGTTAGCTACAGTAGAACTACGCGTGAAACTCTAAATTTAATTTAATTTGAATTAAACAGGGACTTAAATACAGAAAGTCATATCAAAAACACGTTACTGTGCAAAATAATAAATACATTTTCAGCTTTCTTTTCTTTTCAGCATATTGTTATTCAAGTTTTCATGCAACATTAATAGAATAAAGCGAGCAAAAATATTGAACACATAAAGTGTATTCAACTAAATCTAAATGATGTCGAACCAGTATATATACTTCACATGTTATAAGTTTTTTTTTTTCAATTTAATAAAAAACAAATTTTACTTTTTATTATAATGTTGCAAAACATCAAACTCATTGAATTGTGAATTCTTTGCCAACACTCTTTTAATTTGTGTTGATAAAAAGGAATTCTTACAACTTCGGCCCAACAAATTGTACCAAACAAAAGACTTTTCTCATCCTGCTGTAAGAGTGACTGTAAATTTTTTTAAAAGTAATAATTCCAGCTCACGGTATTTTTCTTTATTCTGTCGATAATAAATTTCTGCCAGTGCTGCCTTAATAATAATCGTGCGATATCAAACTTAAAATTAATGATGTATATCGATCAGCTTTTGAATGACAGCCAACACCATCACATTTCTTCTTTTATTCCATATCGACAAGAGAAAAGCTGACAAAAAAGTGTCTATCAAACCCGGTGAATACCCGAAAGATAATGGAGCAGTTCGTTCGGGAGGCTTGATGCAACAACTCAACGCAACTTTGTGCGATAGAGTTACAAAATACTCTAACTTTGAGTTAAGGAAGTCTTATCGAGGTGCGAACGTATTTTGTTCATAAGGCTACAGCTATTTTATTGGTAAGGCATGGAAATACTCATTACGTACCATAATATGAGCCTTTGTATGTATGTACATATATAAATTTGTCATGATTACATATATATGTACATATGTATGTATGTAGTATATGCGTTGCCAGCTGAAATGACGCATCGCTGAAAGGCAAATGGAAACGTTAAAATAAACAAGCGGCAAGCACAGCTCATGCACGATTCGCAAATCGCAACTCTCATATACATATGTATGTATATACACACACACGTACATACATACATATATGTATATACATACATATGCATACTCACTTGCACAAAGTGTAAACAAATGCAAGGCAATAAAATTGACGCAATGTAAGCCAATTCAAATAGTTGCCCACAAGCTGCGGACCACTCCACTTGTCATGGAAATCCAATTTGCCGTTGAATTTGAGCATGACGCAAATATTTTGGGGAGCTTGGAGCAGGATGAGCACGGTTCTAATGAGCGATGCTGTAAGGGGCTGCAGGTGGGTGGCTTCGTTTTACATTTACATTTGTTTATGTTTATATGTATGTATGTATATCCCACAGCCCGAGCAGTTTGATTCATATCTGGCATTCTTGGTCAGCTTTTTGACTCTGGAACAACCACAGCCATCAGCGCATCTCTTGGGCGATGAGCAAGCGTCGCGCATGCGCCAAAAAATGTTAGAGTTTAAGGAGCAAGTGGATGCCTTGGATCGTAATGATGAGAACTATTATGTCAAGAAGGAGGACCTGATATTCAAGGTATTCTGTGAGTACAAAGGCATACCATATGAGGTTAAGCACATAGCCGCTGACCAAGAGGACGAAGACGAGGTGGACGATACTCTCGACATGGATATGGAAAGAGATGGACTAGTTTTCTTCAGAATCGGAACGGAAGCCGAGTCAGCAAAATTTTATAACGATCAGGCACAAGCAGAAGCCGAAGCATTCATCGAAAGTGTGGAGGAAGAACAGTTTTTCCACTAAACTAAGGTTTATTCATTTTCCAAAGTCTTACTTGTAATGTTTTAAAATTAATTTTGAATTACTTCTTCACAACACTACTTTTTAATATACATACATTTGTACATATTCAAATTATTCAATCAATTCATCACATTTAGTTCTTTATATTCCCAAGTTAACATAATGCGACAAAATAATAGAATTTTCCTTGTAATCTCACACAATCATTTGATCTTGGGCTCCACAAAATAGCTGCCAATATCAAGCACTAAATATACATATCCTTACACAAATTTTGAGCGGCTTACCTGCAGAAATTATCGAAACTAAGTTGGCAATTAATGTTTATTTAGGGGAGAAAATACTTGAATTTACATGATTAGTGCAAAAGGCAGACGAAAAAGGCAACGACAAGTCGAGAAGGCACAGCTGCGGGTTACCTTTTGTACCTGCTCTAGATATTAATTTAAACTAATGTCACACACACACACTCTCACTCACACACACACAAGCAGTAAGCTGAGCATTTAAATGCGAGTCGTATAATTTGCAAAACAAACATCGAACAGGAAATCATTCGACTTGGCTCGACTCGTCTCGACTGCGTTTGGTTTGGTTTCCGTTTGTTTTAGTTTGTTTTTGTCTTGGGTTCTTGTTGTTGTTGTTGTTGTTGTTGTTGGGCATGACTGGCATACGTGTGTCTTGGACTGACAAAGTGACTTAGCATGTCAGCGACTGCTTAGATTATTGCATTGATATGGCAGCAGTATGCCAAGACCAGAGACCCTCAATTCTGCTGCCAATGGCTGTCAATGAATTTGTTGATTGCTGCCGTGTGTCTATATATCCAAACAAACATACACACATACATATGTATTTATACAAATGTATGTGGTTGTGTTACTTCAATATAGGCTCATCAATGCGACGAAATGTCCCTGTGGATTTGAAACAACAGGCAGAACTCATTAATACACGACTCCAGCACACACATACATTCACATAGAGAGCGTTTTTTTATTGCGCATTATCGGCTGCCTAAACTGACAGATCTTGCCTGCCTGCCTGTGGCTAATGTTTGCGGAAATTAAACGAAATATACTTACTTTACATATGTGTACATATACAAGTATATGTACATATGTACATAAGTTATATTGCTTTCTCACAGTGTCCCGTGGAGTTGTGGCTTCAGACAGGACAAAATATTAAATTGCAATTTAGAAGACGCGGGATTTTAATCAGTATACTACTACGAGCATAATAATATGTTTAAATGCGTGAAGCATGTGTCTTATGATTATTCTTATTTAAAATGTGTGAATCACATCTAAAGACAAGTTTTCCAGCTCGATTGTGTTGGGCCTGAACGCCAATAAAAGAAAATTTCAAAAAATAAAATAAACTCGTCCTTTCTCGGACGCCAACTTTGGTTATTCCAACTTTTATAGTTTCTGAGATCCTTTCGTTCATCCAGACGGACGGACGGACATGTCTAGATCGAGTTCTCTAGTCATGCTGATTCAGAATATATATATATATATACTTTATGGGGTCGGAGATGGTTCCTTCTGCCTGTTACATACCTTGCACAAACCTAATATACCCGGGTACAGGGTATAAAAATTCGGTATATTTCCCCCCTTCCACCCCTACACGACAAACTCTTGAACCTCTTTTGTCAATAATTACATTACAATAGAAAAGGCCTCGTTCAACACCAAGGCAATACCTAAATACATCAATAATGACTCGCCGGATGCGCAGGGTGCTGGGTTGCTTCTATCTCGGTTTACAAAACGAACCCACTGTACATTGGGTGTCTACCTTCCCGGTGTTTAGCTGCCGCTGATGTGCCCGGCGCTTTTGTTTTATAGTAGTTAGTCCTTGAAGACTTTTGACATGTGCATTGAAATGAACGAAGGAATTTGTTTAATTAAGCATGCCTGCCAGTACAGCAGGCACCTTGACATGTGCCACATTAATAGCATCATCGAACTTGGCTGCCTGACAACAAAAACAACAACAACAACAACAGAAATGAAGACAACAACATTAATGAAGAAGAAAACAATGCGGCACAATGGCAACTTTAAAATATTTGCAAATTAAAGGCTTAGACATCTGCTTGTACTGTCAACGTCTTCGGCGATCTAGTATTGGTATGTGTGTGAAAATTAATTTTCGTACAAACTGTGCACGCACACACACACACAGAGAGAGAGGGAGAGAGAGAGACACACACACATGCAGTCAAGCATTGGCCTTAAGGCGTTTGAGGGGTAAGCCCTGTAATTAAGCGTCGCTTGGTTAGTGGTTTTTAGTGCCCTGGCAGCACCCGCCACCCGCCTCCCCGTAACCCTGAATGCCAACGTTGCTGGCGTTGCCATGACGGCGCGTTGAAGTATTAATAACGTCAAAGTGCTGCGCATGAAATTTATTAAGATGCCAGGCGGGCGGCAGGCGGGCGGACAGGCACAGCCGCCACTCAAGTCCCACCCCCCCCACCTACCTCTCAGTTAGCTAGTTTAGGGAAGGGGAGGGGAGGGAGTCGGGTCGGCGGCTGTTGCTCAGCTGTCGCCGACGAATTTTGGCGAATTTTGGCTCTTTTGGTTTTACGCAGTGGCTGGCAAATTTTAAAGACGTCTATAAATTTGTTAATTTATGTACAATGTGGCGTATGCGCAATCATTTTGTTATTCATTACAGCCTAAAACAAGCTTTAAAAACTTAAAGCAACTGTAAAATACGATTAGGTATACATTTTTGCTTAGTCGCTTAGTTGAGTTTTTAATATTTATATCAATTTGAATCACAGAAAGGTCTATGGCATGTTTTCCTAAGAAAAATATTTTACAAATTATCAAACGGACAGTTCCAAGAAAATGTTTATTGTTGAGCTGAATGCCTCAGGAAATTGACGAAATGTTATTAAGCTGTGAGGCGCTAGAGAGTTGAGGTTTTAAAAGACAGAATCATTTAATTACAATTACATTACAGCTTTGTATTATTTGTTTAGGGCGTTTGCACCCGACAACAAACAAAATATTTTAGTATTTGAAGTTCTGGTTGCCTTTACTGGCTTTTCTTCAGTTGTTGTCCAAAACGAATTTTGAATCAATATTCTTACAGCCTTACTGCTTAACTTTCTCAAATTTCAAGAGAGTTTAAAGCATGCTTGATTTGTTGAAATAATAAATAATAAAGCAGCTTTTTCAGTAACAATTATTCAATCCTATTCAAACCATTCCTTAGTCGCATTCCTTCCGCGACAGAAAATATTCAGCGAAAATAATTAATTTTTTTACCTATAAGATTAAATATTCTTCAAGTACGTTATCTTTCACCAAGATAACGAAAAAGTTTTCAATGTTTGATGCAAGTTAAAAAAGCACAAATAAAATAAACATGAGTTTAAAAGTTTGTTTTCTTATTTAAACGCCCAATGAATATATATATACACACTATATATGTATATGACAAGCTAAAAATAAGAACAATAATAATCATGTTGTATAACTCTTCACCCTTGGCAATAAACACAAAGCAGTCCCCATTGAAATCACTTTTAAAGTATTTGAATGAAAACTGTCACCCAGATGTTAAAAATAAACTTTTCTTCAAATTTCTTTTTTAACTTCATGACTTATTTTATTGCTTGGCCCGGCCTGGCCGCCTGCATACAAGCACAAGTATTCGAACACATATAAAAGAGCTAAAACATTGCACACACACACACACACACACACACATACACATACTCATACTCGTATATCACGCTGCGTCAATAAGTCAAGTCCATTATGGGCCAAAAAGACTGACAACAGCCATAAAAATGTCCAAGCCCGCAAGACAAACGCTGAGGAATGCGAGCGACTGCTTAAAATAAATGTTTTCAAACATTTGGCACTGACACAGCTGCTGTTCTTACTGCTGGTTCTACTGCTACTGCTACTGCTACTTGCTGCTGCGGGTATTTTATTTATACCCAAGTGTGCGGCACATGTCGATGGAAGCTCAGACACCCACACACGAATGCCAGACAGTGTTGCAGACAATGCTGGGATTGCAAAAAAAGCAACAACAACAACAGCAGCAGCAAAAATGAAAAAAGTATTTTAACGCCATGCGCAAAAAATTTATTGCCATCCAAGGGGAGGGAGGGGTAGGGGGAGGGGGGCTGGCAGGTCAAATTTAAACATATGACTCGTCCTGGCTAAGCCTTTCGTGGTCAGCTGCAACAAATCATAATTAAAATGGGAACATGTCGCTGCATGTTGGCGTACAATAAATAATGCTTTAATTATTTTATTACTTAAAAATTAACAACAAATGTGTTTTGAACACGCCAAGACAATTTCACATTAAGTTGCCACAATAAAGTGGCATTTAAATGCCATCGGCAGCGGAAACTGGAGAGGGCTGAGGGCATAAGTAGAATGAAAACAAAAGGTTCCGTTATGTGTCGGGGCATAGGCATAAACAAATGCCAGCGCCACATCCGGTAACTAACAATGAGAAGCTTAAGAAGAAAAAGAATGTATTCTTACGTGTGTTTTAATGTGTGTGTGTGTGCCTATGCCACATAGACAGGCTAAAAGCTTTTGCTGTTTGCCTTTTGTCGTTGGCCGCCCGTTTTGTCGACCAGTCCCCACCGCCCCTCCCCTTGCCCAGACATTGTCAGAGTTGTGCGACAAAAAGGCGTCGTCACAATTACCCAGACACGGGCATGCAGTGCATGTAACACGATGGGCGCATACTTTTTGCACAAACTGTGTACACAGCAACCTAATGTATGTATATGTGTTGGCATGGCATGCCTTTTATTATGGCAACGTCAACCCTTTTTGTGGCTCCATGGCTCCATTCTCCATTTCAACACGCATCACAGGCAAAACAACTGCCTAAATGCATGCATGTGTGTGTGTGGTCATAATTGTACTAACAACAACAACTACAACAACAACAATAAACAACAGTGCCACATGAAACTGAGGCAATCATACAAGGGCCTAACCGCATTCTTTCAAGCTTCCACGGCCCCTTTTTATTCTTTGCTGTCGTTGTCGCTCGCTTTTTCAAAAACTGTCAACTGTAAATTCTTGGCGCTTCTTTTTTATGTACTTTGCTATTTTATTTATATTTTTTTTAGTTAGTTCGTGTTAAAACAAAGTTCATGTAGCCCTCATGGCTAATACAAATACAAAGCGCTGC